CCAGCGACCAGTCCAACCCATCCACGCCGTCGCCGCCGCTGTCGGCCGACAGCTTCAAGCCCTTCCGCAGCCCCGCGCAGCCGGACGACGGCTTCGACGAGGCCGAGGCCGGCAACCTGCTCTTCGACGAGCCCATTCCCAGGAAGAGAAAGGTGGGTGTGTCGACCCCGTCTTCTGCTTTTAGGTGCGTCCCCTTTGAAGGCTACTTTGAGCCTAGGAAGGGTGGCGATTCTCACGCTCCTGTGACCCCCTGTTGATAAACAGACAAGTAGGCTACGTTCCTCTGTGATGTTCTTCGAATTTTCAAAATAAGTATCATGATTAAAACAATTAAAAATGACAAAAATATTGACATGTTCCCTCACAGTACACGTGCCCCGTCCTCTGGTTACAGCTTGCTAACCGAGAGCTCGAATACTGTATTTGGAAGGTGGAAAAGGGACATCAGGCTTGGTGTGGTAATTAACTCACTCTCTTCCTGGGACTTGGTTTTTTATGTAAAATGTAATTAATATCTCTTTTCCTTTTCTGCTTCAGTCAGCCCTGAAGGGTTGTTGAGAAGAAGATTTTGTGTCTAATTCTTACACAATGAATTGGATGTGAAATATACATGAAAGTGGACATATGAACATATGTCCATGCACATGGACCAAAAATGACATACGAGATTACTTCAAAAAGTTTATGGACAAGTAGAAGCAAAAGATAATAAAATCTTTCCATGAACTTTTTGAAGCACCCTTGTACTTCTTTGAAAAGGAGATCTAATTGATTGATTTAATAAACTGATTACACTTTTATTTAATTCTCACAGCAGTCCTGTACGGTAAGTTGTTTTTCCATCTTGATATGAGGAAACTGAAGATTGGGGAGAAAATACATTTAACTGGCCCCTGTCACACAGGTTAGTTAGAAAGGGCCAGAGCTATCACTCAAACCCAGATCTGCCTAAACCTATAGCTCATACTGTTTTCATTCTCTTCAGGTACATTTAAATTATTATGTTCACTCACAGTTTTTCAAAAGCATTTCTATTTCATAGAATAAAGCAATACTACCGCTAAATCTAGCAAACATTGCAGCATTATTTTTTAAATCATGTAAATATGAGACTATTATTTTATGTATTATTTTTTTATATTTCATATTGATAGCTTTATCATTAGTGACTATTCACAAACAAAAATTCAGAGCAAAGCCCTGAGGACTCCAATCAATCTTTTTTCTCTCCCGCAATTCATTTCAAAGAGGAAAACAAAGAGATGGCATTGATCCAACACCTTCCCTCCCTGTATCTCTCAGTGTCACTCAGCATATGTAACCGTGGGGGTGCTACAGGCCCTCTCTCTGGGTGTATCCATGTGAATAAGGGTCAATTTCTTTTGAGAGAAGAGGACATTAATGTGGTCTTCTGTCGTTCCCAGAGGCACAACCAGAGTTGTGGTTTCAAACAAGTCCATCCTGCAGGGGGCTGAAGTTGTTATGGCATCCTGTGGGTCCCCAGGGACAAAGGTTTTGGCTTGACCAGGTGGGGAGAGAGGCTGGTATTTACATCAGTGGGGACCTGCAGGCAGGACAGCAGTGTGGACCTACAATCTTGTCTTGTTGCTTCAGGCTACACAGAGTTTCTCTTTGGGGTTATCTGAGTGTGCAGTACTGACTCTCATCAAGCATGGCCCAGTGTGGTGGCAAAGACTCACAGCACAGGGGTCCCCCAATGCTTTTAAGGCGCATTGCTGAAAGCCCATAGCCTTACATTTCTAATGTAGCTGCTGAAAATTCACTCTTACAATTAGATTGCATTGGTCAGACTTGTATTGAAGATCAGTAGGCTTCAGCTAAATTAGGGGATAGTCAAGTCACCAAATGAAAAGGAAAGAAGCTTCATTACAAAGTGGCATTTATTACAAGCCTACTCCCTAAGATGCTGGATAGTAGGAATGAATGAATGAATAAGAACCGTGTTTATCCTTCTTTCTATATGACCTCTCCCTCTACTCAGATTCTGGATTTCCCCAGAGTGATACAAATAGAATGGAGCTCAGAGCCACCCATTTTTAACCCATGGGTCTTATATAGACCAAGTTGTTGCCCTGGCCTTTTGAACTTAAAGCTACTTTTTTTTTTTTCCTTTTTGTCTTTTTTTACTGACCGGTAACGGGATCACAACCCTCGGTGTCGCGCCCGTACCGGGGACCGGCAACGGGATTGCAACCCTCGGTGTTGCGCCCGCACTGTGCTCAGCCAGTGTGCGGGAACCAGTCTCCACATGAGATCCGAACCCTCAGCAGGAGCGCCGCCGCGCTCCCAAGCAGTGCACTCTCCAGTGCGCCACCGGGCCGGCCCTAAAGATACTTTGAATAGAGAAAATAACAGGAAAGTGGGATTGTTGCTATTCATTTTTTTATTTATTAAGTGAACCAATATTTGTTGAGCACCCATCAGGCAAAATGCTTAGTGCCCTGAGAATGAGACATAGCCCCTTCCTTCAGGTGTTGAAAGTTGGGTGAATGGAGATTGACGTGTAAAGAGACAATAATAATTATGAGCGATTAAATGTTGTCTTCATGATGTGGTAGAACACAGTAACTGCAATACAGTTATTTTAGAGTTTTTAAAAAATTGTTTCAAAAGATTTCTGAGTTACATTAATTTGCTTAAACCAGACAATATGTTCTAGTTGGTAGAACTTTCTGAGTTCCTATTTTCTTCTCCATTCCCTTTGATTTGTAATATCCATTTGAAACCATGGGCCATTGTGATGACCACGTGTCCTACGGGGATTGTTTGGGAACCTTCTAGATCAGTCTTTTCCAAACTGCAAGCCCCATGCTAGTGGGTTGTAAATCTATTTAATGAGTTGTGAACAGTACTCTTTTATTCATAGGACAGAACAGAGTGACTACATAGTAAGGGTGACTATGGTTTCTTGATGTTTTTGCTCCGATTGTATACTTAAATGTGCAAAATGTATTTTTTAACCACAGCTCATCGTCAAAAAATTTCAGGAGCCCCTGTTCTATGTTATAAAGAAATAGTATGACACGTGGTAAATTAAGGTACCCTTAACGGAAATCAAAAGATCCATATTCTAAACTCAACTCTGCCGTCCTGAGAACCTAGGGACATCATGAACCTGTCTGATCAGCAGCTTCTCCATCTGTAGAGCAGGCATTATCGCTCTTCTGTCAGGTCAGTCATGTAGGTTCAATGTGATCATACGTACTGGAATGTGGCAACACTTTCATAGACATTTTAGGGCCTCTATGCTCAGGGAGAATGAGCACTCCTTATATCTGACTATGAAGCAGTGATCCTGATCTTCCTCATCATTATGGAAGCTGTCTTACCTCTTCTCCCACCTGCCACCCACACAGACACTCTCACCTGTTACGGAGATCCATGTTCAGCTTATGTAAGAAGATGAGAGAGCGACGTGCATTGCATAGACAAGGCATTATCTCTTACTATCACTAGAGAGGAAGAAATATTTGATAATCATCACTTCATTTGCATATTTAGCTACAGTTTACCAAATACTTTTACTTATATTACTGTGGTAAAATATATATAACATAAGGTTTGCCGTTTTAAGCATTTTTAAGCATACAATTCCATGGAATTAATTACATTCACAGTGCTGTGTGACCATCACCTCTATCTTCCAGAACATTTCCATCGTCCTGAACATGAACTCTGTACCCTTTGAGCAATAACTTCCCATTATTCCTTCCCGCAGCTTCTGGTAACCTCTAATCTACTCTGATTCTGAAAATTTTTTTCTTTTTCTTTCTCTTAATTGACCCCTGATAATTGTATATGTTTAAAGAGTACAATGTGATATTTGGGTACATTTATACAGTGTGCATTGATCATATCAGGGTAATTAGCATATTCATTACCTCAAACATTCGTCACATTTTTGTACTGAGACACTTTAAATCCTTTCTACTAGCTACTTGAAGGTATACAGTAATTTGTTGTTGACTAGCCTTTCCACAGTCTGTAGGAGGCTAGACCTTATTCTTCCTATCTTGTTACAATTTTGTTTCCATTGACCACTCTCCCCAGGGCCCTCTCCGCCTCCTTTTACCAGTCTCTAGTAACCGCTGTTTTACTCTCTGCTTCTATGTGATCAACTTTTTTAGCTTCCACATATGAGTGAGAACATGCAATATTTCTCTTTCTGTCCCTGGCTTATTTCACTTAACATAATTTTCTCCAAGCTCATCTATGTTGCTGCAAATGGCAGGATTTCATTCTTTTTTTATGGCCGAGAAGTATTCCTGTATAGATACCACATTTTCTTTATCCAGTCATTCGTTGACAGACATTTAGGTTGGTTCCAAATCTTGGCTACTGTGAATAGAGCTGTGATAAACATGGGAATGCAGGTATCCCTTGAACATGTTGACTTACTTTTCTTTGGATATATACCCAGTAGATGGATTGCTGAATCGTATTGTTAGTTCTATTTGGAGTTTTTTGAGAAACTTTTTTCTGTTTTCAATAATGGCTGTCCTAATTTATATTCCCATCACCAAATGCTTTTAAATGCAGCATATCATTTCATCACCACCAAAATCATTGGCATATTCTTATCCCCATTTTGCAGAAGAGGCTCATTGAGGTTATGTGAATTGTCCAAAGTTGTATAGCTTATAATGTGGTACAGATAAGACCAGCTTAGCTCAAATTGCAAAGAGGAAACTCTTGAGGCAAATTTTTTCAAAGAATCCACATTTCCATCTGCCTACCAAGGAGAATAACGTGGAGAGAAAATAATCAGACACAGCTACAGTCAACATTACGTGGCAGGGTGGAAGCAGGGTGCAGAAGGTTCAGAGTGAAGTTGAGAGCAGAGAGAGGAACTCCAGGCTGTCTGCTGCAGAGTTGACCTCCTACAGAAGCATTCATTGCTCTTAAGAGGACCTGCAGCCCAGGTTGGTGGGAAAGCGAGAATGGAAATGAAAAGCTTTCCTCTCCCTGATCTGGAGGTCAGCCAACTAACTTGGTCAAGTCTAGTCTAATAAAATTTTTCCCCTGGGATTTCAGATGGACTGACAGAACTTGTGGGCTCAGAGAAAGTCCCAGTTGTGTGAGCCAGGACTTTGGGACTCTGGTGAGGTGCACTTCCAATCATGACCACAAG